GCTGGCGGCGTCGGTTTTGGACACCTGGGATCATTACTACCAGGGAAGCATCTTGGCGCTGCTGGCGTTGTTGAAGGAGGCAAATATGTGGGAGGGTTTAGAGTTGTAGGCCTTGGCGGCTGTGGACAGTTAGGATCAGGTGATCCTGGATAACAAACCGGTTTTGGCGTAGTTGGTCGGGGACACCTAGAGTCAGTGCTGCCCGGGTAGCACTGAAGTTGTGTTGCTGTCGTTGGCTTAGGACAACGTGGGTCGGTATTGCCTGGATAGCAGTTAAGAGGAGCAGGAGTTGTTGGCCTAGGTGAGGTAGGTCTTGGGCATCGTGGATCCGTATTTCCAGGGTAGCAATTAGGTGGTGCTGGGGTAGTAGGACGGGGACAACGCGGGTCTGTGCTACCGGGGTAGCAGTTAGGAGGCGCTTGAGTTGTGGGCTGAGGAGGAGGAGGAGGTCTAGGACAACGGGGATCAGTGCTTCCGCCATAACAATTTGGAAGCGCAGGTGTAGTTGGCCTGGGCGAGGTAAGTCTTGGGCATCGTGGATCCGTACTTCCAGGGTAGCAATTTGGTGGTGCTGGGGTAGTAGGACGAGGACAACGCGGGTCTGTGCTACCGGGGTAGCAGTTAGGAGGCGCTTGAGTTGTAGGCTTTGGAGGAGTAGGTCTAGGACAACGAGGATCAGTGCTTCCTGGATAACAATTTGGAGGCGCAGGTGTAGTCGGTCTGGGTGAGGTAGGTCTTGGGCATCGTGGATCCGTACTGCCAGGGTAGCAATTAGGAGGTGGTGGCGTCGTGGGTCTAGGAGACGTTGGTTTAGGACACCGAGGATCTGTACTTCCTGGGTAACAATTTGGAGGCGCTGGCGGCGTCGGTTTTGGACACCTGGGATCATTGCTACCAGGGAAGCATCTTGGTGCTGCTGGCGTTGTTGAGGGAGGCAAATATGTGGGAGGGCTTAGAGTTGTAGGTCTTGGTGGCTGTGGACAGTCAGGATCAGGTGATCCTGGATAACATACCGGTTTTGGTGTAGTTGGTCGAGGACATCTAGAATCAGTGCTGCCTGGGTAGCACTGAAGTTGTGTTGATGTCGTTGGCTTTGGACAACGTGGGTCGGTATTGCCTGGATAGCAGTTAAGAGGAGCAGGAGTAGTTGGTCTAGGTGAGGTGGGTCTTGGGCATCGTGGATCCGTACTTCCAGGGTAGCAATTTGGTGGTGCTGGGGTAGTAGGACGGGGACAACGCGGGTTTGTGCTACCGGGGTAGCAGTTAGGAGGCGTTTGAGTAGTGGGCTTTGGAGGAGTAGGTCTAGGACAACGGGGATCAGTGCTTCCGGGATAACAATTTGGAGGCGCGGGTGTAGTTGGCCTGGGTGAGGTAGGACTTGGGCATTGTGGGTCAGTACTGCCTGGGTAGCAATTTGGTGGTGCTGGGGTAGTAGGACGGGGACAGCGCGGGTCTGTGCTACCGGGGTAACAGTTAGGAGGGGCTTGAGATGTGGGCTTTGGAGGAGTAGGTCTAGGACAACGAGGATCAGTGCTGCCTGGATAACAATTTGGAGGCGCAGGTGTAGTTGGTCTAGGTGAGGTAGGTCTTGGGCATCGTGGATCCGTACTGCCAGGGTAGCAATTAGGAGGTGCTGGTGTCGTGGGTCTAGGAGACGTTGGTTTAGGACACCGAGGATCTGTACTTCCTGGGTAACAATTAGGAGGCGCTGGCGGCGTCGGTTTTGGACACCTGGGATCATTACTACCAGGGAAGCATCTTGGCGCTGCTGGCGTTGTTGAAGGAGGCAAATATGTGGGAGGGTTTAGAGTTGTAGGCCTTGGCGGCTGTGGACAGTTAGGATCAGGTGATCCTGGATAACAAACCGGTTTTGGCGTAGTTGGTCGGGGACACCTAGAGTCAGTGCTGCCCGGGTAGCACTGAAGTTGTGTTTCTGTTGTTGGTTTTGGACAACGTGAGTCGGTATTGCCTGGATAGCAGTTAAGAGGAGTAGGAGTTGTTGGCCTAGGTGAGGTAGGTCTTGGGCATCGTGGATCCGTACTTCCGGGGTAGCAATTTGGTGGTGCTGGAGTAGTAGGACGAGGACAGCGCGGGTCTGTGCTACCGGGGTAGCAGTTAGGAGGTGCTTGAGTAGTGGGCTTTGGAGGAGTAGGTCTAGGACAACGGGGATCAGTGCTTCCGGGATAACAATTTGGAGGCGCGGGTGTAGTTGGCCTGGGTGAGGTAGGACTTGGGCATTGTGGGTCAGTACTGCCTGGGTAGCAATTTGGTGGTGCTGGGGTAGTAGGACGGGGACAGCGCGGGTCTGTGCTACCGGGGTAACAGTTAGGAGGGGCTTGAGATGTGGGCTTTGGAGGAGTAGGTCTAGGACAACGAGGATCAGTGCTTCCTGGATAACAATTTGGAGGCGCAGGTGTAGTCGGTCTGGGTGAGGTAGGTCTTGGGCATTGTGGATCCGTACTGCCAGGGTAGCAATTAGGAGGTGCTGGCGTCGTGGGTCTAGGAGACGTTGGTTTAGGACACCGAGGATCTGTACTTCCTGGGTAACAATTTGGAGGCGCCGGGGGTGTCGGTTTTGGACACCTGGGATCATTACTACCAGGAAAGCATCTTGGTGCTGCTGGCGTTGTTGCGGGAGGCAAATATGTGGGAGGGTTTAGAGTTGTAGGCCTTGGCGGCTGTGGACAGTTAGGATCAGGAGATCCTGGATAACAAACTGGTTTTGGTGTAGTTGGTCGAGGACACCTAGAGTCAGTGCTGCCCGGGTAGCACTGAAGTTGTGTTGCTGTCGTTGGCTTAGGACAACGTGGGTCGGTATTGCCTGGATAGCAGTTAAGAGGAGCAGGAGTAGTTGGTCTAGGAGAAGTGGGTTTGGGGCAACGGGGGTCGGTGCTTCCGGGGTAACAGTTTGGTGGCTGTGGTGTAGTAGGCCTTGGACAGCGCGAATCTGTGCTACCCGGGTAGCAGTTAGGAGGTGCTTGAGCTGTGGGCTTAGGAGGAGTAGGTCTAGGACAACGAGGATCAGAACTACCAGGGTAGCAATTGGGAAGAGCTGGCGTTGTGGGTCTGACAGTAGTTGGTTTGGGACATCGAGGATCTGTGCTTCCTTGGTAACAATTAGGTGGTGCAGGAGTGGTAGGTTGGGGGCATCTTGGATCGTCGTTACCAGGGAAGCATTTGGGTGCTGCAGGTGTAGTAAAGGGTGGTAAATAAGTAGGTGCACTATCCGTAGTCGGTCGAAGCTGCTGAGGACATGCAGGATCAGGTGAACCTGGATAGCACACAGGTTTTGATGGTGTAGGTCGTTGACATCTAGGGTCCGTACTGCCAGGATAGCAGTTGGGTTGAGCGGGACTCGTAGGTCCAGGTGATGTTGGTTTGGGACAACGAGGATCGACGCTACCAGGATAACAATTTGGTGGCGCTGGAGGAGTAGGTCTTGAACAGCGAGGATCCGTGCTTCCGGGATAGCAAGTTTGAGGTGCAGGAGGTTTAGGGCATCGTGGATCTAGACTACCAGGAAAACAATTAGGTGCTGAAGTAGTCGGAGGCAAGAAGGTTGGGGGTTTATTAGTTGCAGGCTGGTCCGGTTGCTGACAATCCGGATCCGAAGAACTTGGATAGCAGGAGGGTTTTGAAGGACTGGGTTTTGGGCATCGAGGATCTGTACTGCCTGGGTAGCAATTTAGTGGGGACGGCGTTGTAGGCCGTGGACATCTTGGATCAATGCTTCCTGGATAGCAGTTTGGTTGCGACGGCGTTGTCGGTTGTGGACATTTCGGATCAGTACTACCGGGATAACAGTTGGGAGTTGGAGATGGCAAGTATGTTGGTGGAGTTTTCGTAGTCAAAGACTGTTCACAGCGAGGATCCGTACTTCCTGGATAACATTTCACTTGAGGTGGTGCTGTTATGGTTTGACATCTTGGATCTGGAGAGCCTGGGTAGCATTGGAGTTGTGGTCGACTGGTAGATGATGTTTCAGTTTCTATTCCTTGGCAATTAGCGTCACAGTTGTTTGTGCATAGCTGTAAATTTTAAAAGGAATAATCAATGCCTTGCTTTATTTGAATTGGTAACACCATAAATAAAGAATAATTTATATTACCTCAACATTGCAAGTAAGGTATACTTGCTCGGTTTCTGGGAAACGAAATGCGCTAACTTTACTATAAGCAATCAAAGTAGCTCCACTTGTTCCGGTATTAGTCGATTTTTGCCATAAATCGACTAGTTTTCGCTTCCTGCAAAACAGACAATTTATAAAATTAGACTCGCATTACTTATTAGCAAATATATTTTTCTCCAACATGCTCGTAAATGTTTGCATTATGTTCAAAAAACGTCATTTATTGTCATTTATAGACCATGCGACTTCTTCTTGCAACGTAAGTATGAAAATCCATTGCTCTCCTCATCTCTAAACTTTTTAATCACTCTACTAATACTGAATTATTGAAACAGGCGAAAGAAAAACTCATACAGCCAACTGCCTAATGTTCATAACTGCGAGAATTAACAATAGATATCTTACCTGTACTGCTTTAAAATAAAAGGCGGTTACATTTAATTAAAACGTTTTGTTATTCTTTTGTTTTCGTCTTTTTTGTATTTTAGTTGGGAAAATGAGAGCTAGAGAGGAGAGCGATAACGAAAATACTGTAATAGATATATATACATTCAAATTCATCATCAGAAGTTCAGCACACTACTATTAATGTGTCTGGAAAAACAATAACATTTTCTATGTGTACATCTTTTATATATATCTTATATGTATTGTATAAATTTTAATGTTAATTCATATTTTTTTACTTTTTCTATAATACACCTTCCTCTCTTTAGTCTTTTACTATTTCCTCACATTGCTTGAAAATAATTCGGCGGGAACGGGGATTGCTTGATTTGTATTAATACGAGGCCTCGCTGGCGCTCGTCCTTGTAACTCATACTCGTCCAGCAATCCCTTAATTCCCGGCCTGTGCAATAATGTACTAATAAAGATATGTTCCGTAAGCCTTATAGGTACATTTCTGTAATGAAGTTGAAGTCTGTCGACGGCAGCAATGACACATTGTTTGCTTACTTGGGACATCCTTCTTTATCGGTTAGTTGGATCTTATTTGTTTTAGGACTGTCATAGTTGTCACTGTCATATGCCCAACAATCGTGAATCTTCAAGTTGAATTGGTTCCTGATATCCTTCAAATATATAAGTATCGTAAGATACTCTCCAATTTTGATCGATCCTTTCAGGGGCGAGGTCTGGAAATATATACATACTCGAGATTAGTGGTTTTGTGTAATTGAGCTATTTGCAAAACCATACAAACAAAAGTAAAGTGTTCATTATTTTATTTCAGATACAAAGATATCTATGTACTAGAGTACTAGATGCGGCGTCCCCATACACATGCTGTGTTTCACTGATGTGCGGTGAAGACACAACACTTCAATGTCATAGATTAATAAGCAACAGAGTATTCTGACCACACAATAACAGCGTAGAGATAATATGAGTTACCATTACATAAATTAAAAAATATAAAAAAGACTAGGATGCATGGTCTAAAGATCTTGCCTTTCCTCAAGGAAAAGTACATAACATAACATCAATAATTTCAATAACTCGACTGTAATCTTTTCTTCTATTTAATTTGTTTTTCGTTTTAGTAATATAATAATTACAAATAATAAGCGGAGCGGCCGGCCCTTGGCTCAAAGCAAAATGAAATGTATTGTGCAACTAATAGCGATTTTGCTAGGGGCTTTATGTTAATTCCCCAACCTTGGGTAAATATCATTGGTAAACATTCAATATTATCTGCCTGCCTAGTTCATTCCCAATGGGTATAACATATAGGTTGGTATACACTGTCACGTCTGTCCACGGTACCTACTATGGTACTGATACTCTGACAAAATTTAAGACTAAATCTAACAGAATCTTTGCATCAGATTCAAATACGGATTGCACAAGTTCGATCATGTGGCCGAATTTAGGAGAAGGCTTCAGTGGCTCCCTATCAAGTTGCGCCGTGAGGAGCACGTTCTCAGCTTTCTTTATAATGTTCTATACGACACTCGTACCCCGCCATACCTTAAGGTTCGTTTTCGCTTCCTCGGGGATGATCACAACCGTGAACTAAGGTCTAAAATGGATAACCTACTGAAGCCTCCTTTCACTCGCTCTGAGTATTACAAAGATTCCTTTACGATTAAGACTGCAAAATTGTGGAACGATGTCCCATTTGAAATCCGACATTCTAAATCGCTACCTATTTTCAAAGCCGGATTGCGTAAATATTTTTTATCACGGTCCTAGTCTGCAACGTGTGTATTAAGTAAGTATAAGTTATTAGTAAGTATAAGTTTATTTAGGTATATTTATATATACATATATTTACATAGGTATAATATATCATTATTTATTAAATATTTTATAAATTACTATTTGTCTTTATTTAATTTATTTATTTTGTGTTTTTTTTTAATTTATAAAATTTATGTTTTTATATTTTTATTTTTATATTAGTAAAATTGGCACACTACGTCTCCCGCTCCGATTAGCTTTCCTCTAACTCAAAGGTTGTCTGGAAGAGATCGCTCTTAGCGATAAGACCGCCTTTGTCCACATTTGTTTTAAGTTGTTTATGTACTATTCTCGTTCTTGTGTGTGAGCAATAAAGTGTTTATCTATCTATCTATCTAAATCTAAACCCTATCACTGTTGATAGTGTTTTGTTTGGAACATGAAACTCAGAGCTTTAAATCGCAAAGATGTTATGAGCATTGCCACTGCGCCCGTCACCCTGAGACATAAATTGACAAGTCCAATGTACCTGTAATTTCACCAGCACCCTTACCCTTCAAAACCGGAACACAGTGATGCTGACTGCTTGGCGGCAGAAAAAGTTAAGGTTAAGGCAGTACTATCCTGGACGAACTCTTTCACAAGGAGCTCTACAGCTAAATTTATTTACTTTATTTATTTGGATTAAATAAAAAAGGAAAAATAAAAGTGTTTTTGTTATACCGGCGAAAGGCCGCAGACTCCGCATAAGTGAAATTATTCATTGAAATTCTCTTTCGATGAATTTTATGAGTTTGAAAGAACCTTATCCCTATCTGTAAAAATATCATTTGTAAGGATAAATAAATTTAAAATAATAATAACAATAATAAATATAACTAAGTGTAAATAGTTCTATCTAAAATAACCCGTTCGATATCTAAATATGTATTGTATTTGTTGATTACCTTCTGAAAGGAACTATCCTAGCAAAAACTGCACATTGTCTGAGAAGTCTACACGTGTATAGACACAGCCACTCAAATATTTTTATTCTTCGGTGTAATGAGTCATTATGTGTTTTTTTATAACATCAAGTGACGGGACGAACGAGTCGTGCGCCTGATGGTAAGCTACACGCCTGTCCAAAACAGCTACAGTGCCACTCAGAGATATAAATTGCAATAATATGGGGGGCACTAATAATGCGCCCGTCACCCTGAGACATAAGTTGACAAGTCCCACGTGCCTGTAAGTTCACCAGCACCACTACCCTTCAAAACCGGAACACAGTAATTCTGACATTACTGTTTGGCGGCAGAAATAGGTAAGGTGGCAGCACTACCCTGGACGAACTCTGTCACAAGGAGCTCTGCTGCTACTAAAATGTCAAACTTACATTCGGGAAAATTCCCTTCTGAATATCCATCCAGCACTCCACACTACCAGCAGGTCCCTGCACGGCGACAACATCTAGCATATCGACCATGAAGGGTTTCAATTTTAACGTGTGCGTCTCTTCTTTATAACCCGCACCTGCTGACACTTCGAGAGATGTGCGAGCACATGAGACCTGAAAGCGTATACAATTATCATTTAAGAAAATGTCATAATGGTGGCAACAATATTAAAATTAAATTGGAGGTCATGGAGGTCAATAGCGCAGTTATTTTGTCCATAAAAACCTCAAAGACGCATTGCTTAAAACATCTTAACGGTCAGTCTCAGGCTAGTGTTCCCTGCCTAATTTCCGTGGCAATTTTTATTATTTAAATATTCAAGTATATTATCGTGTAAATATTAAATAATATTTCACGATACAATACTCGAATATTTTACTAATATTGCACGATAAAAATATCGAATACATAAATAATAAAAATCGTCACGGAACTTAGGTAGTATCTAAACACTTGTCCGAGAACCACCGTTAAGTAAAATAAACGCCATTATTACTTTGTAATAGTTGCGCTTTTCTGTTAACAAGTTGCAAATTAGACGCTGTAGAAGCGCTGCAGTGCAATTTTCATACAATATTTAGAAGTGCTATTTAGCGCCAATGTCGTGACACGCGCGCGCTACATTTGCAATTACAATTAGTGAACTAAAAATTACTGTCGCGCTATAGACACTGCAGCGCTGCTACAAGCATCTAATTTCAAGGCGCCCTGTTTTTCATACAATATCTAGAAGCGCAGTCACAGCGCCACAGTTGTGACACGCGCCACTTTAGCAGTCAGTTACAATAATAATTAGTGAGTAAAACATACACGCGCTACCGCGCCACAGTCGCGCTACTACAGTGCTTATAGAAACAATGTAGTGGCGCGACTCGGCGTGTCTAAATTAAAAGCATCTTTAGGTGTACTTATGCCATCAGTACTAAATAGAAAACGACTTTACCTTCCTAGCAAAGTCTAATGGCCCCTGCACAAACTCATCCGCTTGAAAGATGAGAACATTGTCGATAGTACCACACGCGTTACATAGAGGACGGGAGCCGCAGCCCTGCAGAGGTACTTGGAACGAATATCTTGACTGACTGCCACCAAATGACACATATCTGGAAAACAGGAAGTAAAAAGGTTACGTAAAATACATAGTTGACCGATTCATTACTAAACTAAAAAAATTATAAATATGAGATAATTAATACCCATGTAAGGTATCGAACTCCAAGAATGCTCGTTAAGATGAAGAAATGTAAATAAATCTGTGTTGAATTGATAGTCAATTATGTTTTGTGAAATTACTCCACTAGTTTGTTATAATTATTAATATAAAGATCGAACACTTAGAAAAAATCTTTCGATCCGGCCGGATTCGAACCGACGTCATCTAGCATACCGTCCCAGACGCTATAATAACTAAGCCACGGAACGAACCAGCGGACCTTACGAATTCTTCTGTGTGCTTGTAGTCGGATCTTTGTATCTGGTTTTCAACGACTTTTTTTGCCGTTCCGTGGCTTCGTCGGTGCGAATCCGGCCGGATTGAAAGAATTTTTTCTAAGTGTTCCATTTTTGTATTAATAATTATGAAGAAGGGTAGTTGCCGTAACTGTCTTGATCATATTGAAAATATTTTAACTTGCGTTAGGCGCATGGAATAGTAACCCAGACACACAACAATTTTCATTCTTTACGTGCGCTGGCAACAATACACACGGTAATGCACAAACCAAGTATTTGAATTTGTCTACCCTTTGCATATACTCTTTCTCCTTTTGAAATTTTCAAATTCCCTTTAATTTTATTACCTTTATCAGTATATTTGGGTTCATACTTCTCTGGTCCCTAATATGTACCTACTCTATTTCCACATATTTCACATATTGTTTAGATAATCAACAAAAACAGAAAAAAATAGAAGTATAATTATTAATGCAAAGATCGAAAACAAAGAAAAATTCCTTCCACCCGACAGAACTCCTCATCCCGACCCGTCCTGTCGGGTCTAATAATTTTTTCATCGTGACATTCAATAAAAATAAAATAATTTAAAAGCTTAGTTAATTTTAGAATCAAAATAGCTTTTATTTGGAATTGTAAAAGATATTAAAAAAAAATTTCACAATGTCCGTTGATAGAACGTAGTGATATGAATTCTAAACGATTTAGGGTAAGTTATTATAATGAAATTAATATTAACACTTACTTGCACTTAGGATCATTCAAGAACCCTTTACTATAAATGATACCATCGAACACATCAGGAAAATCGACTGTAACTTGAATGAAGTCGTCCGAACATTGCACGTTTATATCAGGCGCTAATGGTGAGTCGGCTTGTCGAAAGTTTCTGACGAAGTTGACCCCGGTGCCGCTGTCTTCGGCGCTGGCCTCATAGAACGGCGAGAGAGCATTGTCGCCCGATAATTGGAGGTTTAGCTCAGCTGCTGTGAGTGTCTCGTATACATCTGAAACAGCTGTAGCAAGCGACAGCTACAGCATCAACAGTTTTGTTACTTGCAGTCTGGTCACAGTATGAAAAGAAATTGGCGTGCACCTTATATACGCAAATAGGCACTAACTAACTAATAAGAAGTAACACTCATAATACCGAATGCTACTTTCATACTTTCCGATTAATATTTCATTTATACTTTGTACAATTCAATAATTAATACTTCAAATACTTCCACAAGGTTGGTACGGTTCCACAGCTCATATTAGGCTTAAATTGTTTAGTTGGCTGACTTACTAGTCAGTGTTCGCACACTGATAGATTGATTGTTTGTTTTGTTTTCCTTGTATTTTGTTCGCAAACTTTACTAATATTTGGAATGACATTGGTTATACTATATTGACATTTTTAACTTAAGTATGGAAGGTTTTAAAATCGTTTAAAACATTTCATTTTTCAGCTAAAACGCATGAAAAGTATGAAAAACACTCATATGATATGATACAGTGTAATTCACACTACAACAATCTTGGTTTGACTTATCATTGGTAAGTGATTAAATTTTTTGTGATTTTTACAATAGTTTATTTAAGCCTATTAAACCCTTACTAATCCCTCTGTGTACATATCACTGTCATTGCAAATTCGAAGCCTCTGTGAAAAACGTAAGGGTTAACTTTGCTTGGAAACCTATGGTGGTTTGTATATATCTAACTATTCATGTATGTATGGGCTACTGTATTTAATGGGCGAAAATTAAGAGGCAGAATTTTGTGAAGTCATCTATTTTGGCAAAAATGTAAAATTAGGTTTTAGACAGATAGATGGATAAAAGGTTTATTCAGTACAAATACAAGCACAAACAAACATTTACATTTATCAGTACAAATTCTACTAATGCTCACCTGTGGTCCTCGAAATTAGTAAGTGAAGATCATGGTACTTATAGTAACATATAGATACCACCACTCTGTTATTAATCTCTTTAGACGAGGCGCTTATAGAGGATAAAAAAATATACGAAACTGAGAAAAACCTTTCGGCACACCCCGGACACTCCATACAACAGTCGAAAGTTATTTGTCTACTACTACTACATACAGCAAGGCGCTATCTGCACACGTGCAAATGTGTGCGTGAAGTGGCAGGGTTACCCATCACTTACGTTGTCAGAGCGGTAACATAGCAAAAATTCTTAAGCGAACCGAAAAAAGCGAAATTAAATCTTTAATTCTTTTAATGGAATCCTAATAATTACACATGTTCATTAGGTATTTATATCGATATAATATTATATTTTTCATTGATTCACTAACTAGAATAATATTGAAGATTTAATTTAAAAAATATAAAAAGCACATAAAATGTTGTATTTTGGAGAGGTGTTTTCAGATAAGGTAATCAAAGGTATTTGAAATTGCGTATCAAAGTTTATCATTACCTAGTTAATAATTAGGTATATTCACGACGTAATATTTGTCGGCAATACAAACTGAAATTTCGAGAACCTTTGTCTACTAGCTCACGAAGTTATGGCGTCTCATTATATTGATATAATATAACAAATTTGTATAATATATTACTCTGCACTAAATAAATGAAGAAAACGCGTTTCATCTTTCGGAAAACGAAAGAAACTGCTCTCTTTATCCCGTTTAGACGATGATAAACAGCCGTACACAGCGAAATTTACAACCCCTTAAACCCGTCTAAGCGCGAAATAACACGCCGACAGCCCTGTTGTCGTTCAGTCAATGTGACCGTTAATGTGCGAGGCGTGGTACGGTATCTAAATCTAGGGAGGGGCGGAGAGTGTCCATTCTCGTTACTTTTTGTTCTCTGCTTTCGGTAAAACTTGAGATACTACTTCAGCTCGATTTCAGATTTTTTACGTGCTAATACGGTTCATTTTGCTTTGGTCAAGCGGCAGGGACACCGGCTTTATTTATTTCAGAATTTATTTTTTTACAAACGAAATCAAAGCCATTTGAAAAATGTATATGTATAGCATTGTAGAAATTAGAAATTATTTATTCAATGTAAAGCACAGCACACATACAATTTACAAAAAAACAAAAACATAAAAAATAGAGGAAAGAAAGATTAGGGAGACAGGATGTGTACTGTGCAGCCACTGAATCCGTCATCCACTCAGCTATTGCCGTCTCACTGAAAGTGTGGTACGACGCTGATTTTCAGTGGATTCAGCGATGATTCGTGCGGCACGGAACACAGTGGACGTCACAAATATACAAATTGAAAATTAAAATTAATAATTTTTTTATTTCATTTTCTTTGTATGTTATATTTATCCAAACTTTAAATTGTATCAAATTATATATATTAAAATGTATAAAATATTAAATTTATTGCCCCCTTAACTAACTTACAATCATAATTACAGTCATAACAATTAACTGAAAAATAAATTCTAACTTATATATAATATACTATTATATATATAATAGTACCCACCTATACGTGTTCTATTTAGTTCAGTTGACATAATAAAGAAATCATTTGTACATGTTAAGTACCTATTCAATACAGCGGTTTTCTTTTAAAATTTCGAGGTAAGTTTGTGTTTTTTTTTCTATGGTGAAAGTTTTTAGGAATTTCTTCACACCATATAGCAATCAGTGCATATCCTCAATTTTACTAATTGGTTCCAAATGAATTCCAAAGTGATTGGTTCAACACTTCCACTGTTATGCGAAATCAACCAATCCCATTTGAGGTTGTACAGCCTCTTAATTCATCACGTTAATTTAGTTGCATTTCGATCTATTTACAGGTTCTTTAAGGCCATGAACCCAATAAATTTAGTGATCAGTTTATAAACTAATAATTATATATGTAGTAACCGAATTATCTCGAAGAGACGCACTTATCAACATTATCTATAACATTGTTCGCGCACAATGTATTTTTTTTTCATTCCCACGTAATATTTCATCGCCAAGCCATTGAGTGTTGTGAAAAATTATACACGTTCTAATATTGTTCGGTGATTGTGGTTAAATTTTTAAACACGCTCAATTCTCCCCTCTATTTACGCCAAAAATAAAATCAACGACTGTTTTTTGATTGGGAATTGTCGCTTTCACCATCCGTGGATGTCCAGCGGACTGACAGGCCACAAATACATTCACTAGACTGATAGGTATTTAAAATTAGACCGAATTTCTTTTGGATAAAAACGACAAGGGCGTCCTGTTCCATTATACCTCTGTTCCATTTTATGTGTGGAATGGAGGTCCTGTTTCGGTTTTGAAAGTTACAGGCACATGGGATATCTTGTAGGGAAAGCGATTGATGGAATGATATTATTATCCGGTTTCTTTAACACAATGGGAGTTTTTCATATTTTCCGTGACAAGAAATGAAGAGTCGAGGGAAAGAATGGTCAAAGGTCACTTGAAGAGAATTTTAGGCAAAAATACATAACAAAATATATGGACATAAATATGTGCAACGCTATGTAATCCATTTTTAACCGACTTCGAAAATGGTGAAGTTCTCAATTTTAACTATGTTTTTTTGTACGTATGTTACGTGATTATTCCGATGTTTGTGAACCGAATCTAATTTTTTTTTTGTTGAAAAAGGGTTGCTTCAGTAGTGGTCCCCATTGTAATTTGAAGAAAATATTACTAAGTTTATTATTATCCAGTTTATTGGATTTCACTCAGTTTTCGCTAACCGATTTCAATAAAACTTAACAAATACATGTAATTCCAAAAACTTTTGAGGTCGATTTTTTTAACCAACTTCAAAAAAAAGGAGGATATCCTAGATTCGACTGTATGTTTTTTTTTTGTATGTATGTTACGCGATAACTCCGCCATTTGTGAACCGATTTTGATGATTCTCTTCCCATTTAAATTTCAATAAAATATTCGACTTCTAAGTGTGGTAAACTAGGGGATGAATGACTTTTGAGGTCGGTTTTTTTAGTATTCTGTACTGAGGTTAGGTTATTTATAAAATAGTTACGACTAAAACATTTAAATCTTAATCAACTTGTTTACCATTTTGTGTGTGCACTTAAATACTTTTTATGCCCAAAATCAAAAAGTAATTTTTCAGGACTTTTAACATTTTTTTTGTATGTATATTACGCGTTTACTCCGATATTTGTGAACCGAATCCGATAAATTTTTTTTGGTGAAATTTTTTGTCATGTAGGTAAATATGTTTAGTATTTAACGAACTAAATGACTCAAAACATGTCTTTACGTGACTCTGAGTGTTGTTTCCCTGGTCTCCTCAAATGTGTACCTGTCTATACTATAACCAAATTCGGTATAGAATGTTTTACTAACAAACCGTTGCTACCAACCAATGACAGCAGGTGTAAAGAAAATTTTTTTGTCCATGCACATTAATATATCTTTCTATAAATTTTTCTTCAGTCGCAGCTCATGTATTTTGTTAAAAAAGTATATACAAGAGTTAGGCAATTTTGCCGCACCTTTACTTACAAAGTGGCAAGTACAGGCAGACGGATCACTTTTTTCTTCATAGAAAATGATTGGACTATATTGTAAGTGACCCACGCATATTACATTTCCGTATATTTTGAGATAAAAAATAAAATGTATATTTCTCCATACAAAAAAAAATTCTCCGAAACTATCAACTTTTCAAGAATAAAAGTTGTTAGGAATATTACTATCTATCATATAAAAAAAAATTGTTCGATACTTCACAAGTTATTCCTATGTCTCCAAGAATTATCAATTTGGGCCCACTGTGCGGCAGGCAGAGACTGGTTGCGTGTTGCGACGAACCGTGAGCATTGGGGGCTATTGGATGAGGCTTTTACGCGAAGGAGGTACAAAAAACACTATGAATGGCTCACGTTTTAAAAAAAAATCTTTATTCTTATAATTTTCACTTAATGTTATAATTAACAATATTATAATTATAATTTGAATTCAATTAAGTTATATTCATTGTCGTGTCGTGTCACAATTTTATTTTATAAGAAATATGTTTGTTAAAATTTAAATAAGGCTTTAATGTTATTATTATAGTGACAATTATTTAACGATTAACCACGAAAATCTAGATTGGTGGAAGTAGATTTAAAAATATAACGAAACTACTAAACTGTCGTTACGAAATTGCAAACATAAAAAAGCTTTATGACCTGCTGTCATTGGCCTTCCAATAATCCAACAAACAATTGAGTAATACAGTTTCTATACGTGCTTTAGAAGATTTATATACCTATTACACAATTACACGTTCCGTGACGTCCATAGAATACACCTCATCTGACCTCATGGCGAAAAGATATAGTTATGCAATTGAAATGGAGACTTGGAAATGAATAACGCACACATTCATTGCCCCGCACTAGGGAAACCCCGTATCGCGGGTGCCTTGGGCATACACATAGACAACTACAAATTGAACCCAAAGTCACGACAGTAATAAAATAGAGGTCACACAAGTATTTCTCCTGGCCCGGGAACCGAAACCGGGGCTGTAATTGTACAAAAATGTAAGTTTAGTTAAACGTATGTCTAATATTTGGGATTTGAGATTAAATGTACTAAATAATGGCAAGTTACATGTTTGATTTGATTTTTTATCTTCATTTTGTAAAATAACTCCAATCGTTTGTTATAACTATTAAATACAAGTTTTCTAAAAAGTAACAGGTTTTTAAAATTATTAATTATTTCTAATATTTTTGTTTTAATGAATTTTATACTGATTTTTTATAAACTGCCTCAGTGGCCGAACGGTTACCATGCTAGATTGCCGCGCAGAAGTCCCGGGTTTGATCCCCCGGCCGGGAGAAACATTTGTATGGTCTACAGTTATTTCTCTCGTGAGTTTGGGTGTAATTTGTGGTTTATCTACGTGTGTGTCCATGATACCCGCGATACAGGATTTCCTTAGTGCGGGGCTATAAAAAAAATATTATTATTGATAAAAAGACCGCACAAAGAAAAAAATTCCTTCGATCCAACTGAATCTGAACCAGCAGCGTGCCTCAAGGTGGCTACCGGCGCTCTGTCAACTGAGGCCTCAGTGTAAATTTGTAATGATTCAAACTTAACTACTGCGTTTAAATTTTTTTTAGATCTTAATTATATACTTACACTAAGTCCACTGAGTTACAGATCGACCCGGTAGATCTAACGAATTTCTATAATATGCTTGTTGTAGATCTTTCTATCGGATTTAAACGGTTTTTTTTATAATATCAAGTGACGGGACGAACAAGTGATGCACCTAGTGACAAGCTACACGCCTGTTTCTGACAGTTGCAGTGCCACTCGGAGCTTTAAATCGCAAAATCGGAGGGGCACTGCCACTGCCCCCTGAAACATAAGTTGACACGTCCCATATACCTGTAATTTCACTAGGCGGCAGAAATAGGCACGCTGGCAGTAGGTACTTGCATGGATGAACTCTTTCACATCGAGCTCTAATGCTATTAATAGTGCTAACTGATAGTTCTCGTAAATAAATTTCTGTCGAATAGTCTCATATGTGGTTAGCATATTCTGTGTTATGTATAACCGTATAAAGTTCCGATGTTTCGGCATCATATTGAGAAAAAAACAAATTGTGTGAAATTTACATTACCCAATGTTAGAGAGACGGTTACAAATATTGTAGTTAGAAACGAAAAATTGAATCTTGTGGATACAGTTGTATTTGTAGGTATAACGTTAGATGCTAAATTGCAATGGGGTCCCCATATAAGTAAGTTATCAAAACGGCTCGGCTCTGCAGTGTACGCGATTAAAAAAATAAGGAAACTTTCAGACGTCGAAACCGCTAGATTGGTTTACTTCAGTTACTTTCACAGTCTAATGACATACGGCATTTTGCTTTGGGGTAATGCCGCCGATATCTATAGAATCTTTGTCCTGTAGAAACGTGCAGTTAGGGCAATTTACAATCTGGGCCCCAAAGTATCTTTGAGAGATAAGTTTAAGGAAATTAACATTCTTACACTAGCCTCACAGTACATTTATGAAAATGTAATTTATGTTAAAAGGAATAGTAATTTATTTATGAAAAATAGTGACAGACATAACATTAATACGAGGAATAGAAATAAACTAGCTTTTCTTGATAGTCGTCTTCACAAAGTCAAAAAATCATTTAAGGGGCAATGTATACGCTTCTATAACAAGATTCCGGTTGATATACAAAATTTGCCTTTCACGAGGTTTAAAACTATAGTGAAACAAAAACTTTATACTAAAGGTTATTATACAACTTCTGCGTACTTGGATGACAAAAATCCGTGGTAGTAACCCGTTTAGCTCATGGAGGTAGTCTCGATCTCTGATGTTTCAAATAAAAAAAAAATTGTAAGTGTTATTTACAAAGAGCAATCCCTAGAGTTTCTTGCTCATTCTTCTCAGGGGAATCTGCCTTACGAATGCGCGGTAGAGTTTAACCATTGTGACGATTTCAAGTGTAATAATGCTTACCTATGAAATAAGATTATTTTGAATTTGAATTTGAATTTGAATTAATATTTTTTTATATTTCGTTATTACAGCATATTACTTAAAAAACGCTCTCATTCCCTCTTTATCAACCCGGGGGCGGTAAAAAGTGAGTAATGGATAAATCTAGGAGATGAGAAACAGCAGACAAACTTTATAATTTTAATGACTGCAAATTAACCCTCGGGTAACGTGTGAAGTGCTCTACGTGTACACTAGTGGCGGACTACGGCCTAAACCCTTGCCTGATAGGAGAACCGTGCCCAGCAATGTGACGTATAAATGAGTTGATGATGACGATGAAAGTAGGAGGAGGTTTCAATTCGACAGATTTTTTTTTAATTTAAACTTTGTTCATGAGAAGATTTGTCTAGCCCATACTTTCTCAAAGTGGACCCTACCGCCCAGAGGGCGCTGAAGAGTCCTAGGGGCGGCAATCGGGGGGCGTTGATGCTGTCCAGAGGTTGCTACCGCGTTTGAAATAAAAACCTGAATTATCTATATAAATTACACAATAAATATTTACATATTTTGCTTGTGAATATTTGTGTTAAGCTAATATAAAAAATACACGTTTTCAATTATTTATTGTGGTGGTGGGCATTAAATTTTTTTTATCTTGCCAAAGTGAGCGGTGGGCCAAAAAGTTTGGGAACCTATGGTCTAGCCATAGGTTTCCAACCGCACCCTGCATCCTACCGTCAATTACATATGAAGCCGTCTGGTATAAAGGCAGGAAGTTCAGATTTTGTCGTCATAGTTTGTTTCGTGTAACAAAAGGTTCTTAATTTATACAATCCCTGATGGTATATGACGGGTCTCGGTTTGACGACCTCAGTGGCCCAACGGTTTGCACCATGGGCGATGGATGCTGGTTCGATTTCCGGTAGAATCAATTTGGGAAACAAACTTTTCTAACTTGGATTCTGATCTGAGTAAGTCCCTGAGTGAATCCCATTACTCTGGTACTCATAGTAACAGAGATTCCCTAGTTTGGGACTAGGTCATTTGTGTGGTTATCTGGCACGTTGTAATTATTATGCTTAGAATCATAACGCATAGAATGATAGCTTCATATCAAACGAACTGTCACAAGAGACGTAAAAATCAAATTCATGTAGGCTAGTTTTAGTAGTAGGTTAATTTTCGGTTTTAGTGAATATTTATATAAAAATACAAGTAGAAATGCGTTACTTCTTTGTGGAATGTGATGTTAGTATCTATTTTATGTTTGTCTGACGTATTTTTACACTCATTTACCGCACATTTCGTCATTTTTACCTAAAATTCTTGAGTTGTTCGCGGTGCAAGTTGACTTTGAGCATTGACGGCCCGCCCGCTCGTGTAGGCCCATTGGGAGCGCTTCAATTTGTCTCCTTTAGCGTGTGCGGGCTAGGTGTCTATGCGTTATTATTCTAAGTTATTATGTATTTATCGTAATATCCAGTTTTTGCGAAGTTAATACGCTGTTATAGAAGTATTGTTTACCTGCACGAGTGCAATCAGTGCCGCTGGGCGCATGACAGCCGCTTCATGGGGCCTGAAACAAATAATAAATAAATATTAGACACCATCACATACGATCCTCGGAACCCAAAGTGAGTAACTAAAGCACTGGGCGGAAATCGAAAGCAACGACGGTACCACAAACACCAAGACCTGAGACTATAATAGAAGAGTTAGTTTTATTCTACATTGACTCGGCAGGTGATTGAACCCGGGACATCAGAGATGACATCTTGAAAACCTACGTACAAGGTACTCGATGTAGGTCGTCTTTAAAAAGTTTATTTAAGAAATGAAAGAGAAAGAAGAACGTATAATAATATTATGTACTACATAAAGTCAGACAGGTTTCTATAACTGGTCAATCCAAAACCCTAAAAAAAATTGTCGCGGTTCTATAATTAAAAATGTTATTAGCTTGTAATCACAAAGTCGTACCCGTAAGCGCACAGAACAATTTTTAATTGGACACATCGGGTTATGTAGAATTAATCTTTGATGTTAGAATGTCGTTGTTAACTTTTTATGCAATCTATATAAACGCTGCAGAACATTAAAATACACAAACTCGTATATTTTAATGTACTGCAAAAAGTGATTTATCTTATATTTTCAAAAATGAACAGAAAATAAGTTCAAGGTTTTATTTTTCTTTTTTTTTGAGTACATTTTAAGAGCTCTTAACGCGTCACGCGTCCTAGAGAGATACGGAGTCCCTAGCGATTTTGGTACTATAGCGTCCTACAGCCACACTGTGTCACTAACGCACAGCTGTGTTTTCATCGACCGTCAAAAAAAAAATAAAAAAAAAAAAATTTTTACCAATGTCATATAGGACACTTTGTGTCTGTAGGTCTCGTGATGAGTTAAATGTTATAATATAACAATCATTGCACACGTGCAAGATGTGTCTTTATTTTTGTGTATAAATTTAATTGTTATAAATAATTTTGATATTTTTTTGCAGTTAAATTTGTGTTTCACCGACTGTACGATATATTCTGTAGGCGTGACGATCGAGCATATAAATCTACGAGTGTACCTTTATGTAGCCAGTATAACCTTTATGTAGAAATTGATCGATGTGACACTTCGAGGGTCGATAATTAATTTCATTCAAGGTAAATCACCTAAAATAGTAAACATAAATGGCGGAGAGGAGTTTCTAAATTGATTTAGATCTAAGTGTTATAGGTAGTGCTTTGAATGACTTTTTTAATAACAACAACAAGTCATGCGCCTGGTGGTAAGCGACACGCCTGTCCATAACAGTTGCAGCGCCACTCAGCTTTAAATCACAAAGATCTGATGACCAATGCCACTGCGCTAGTCACCATAAGCTAACACCCATGTGCCTGTAATTTCACCAGCACCCTTTACTTTCAAAACCGGAACGCAGTAGAGCTCATATTCTGCTTGGCGGCAGAAATAGATAAGGTGGCAATCCTGCCCTGGACGAACTCTTTGACAAGGAGCTCTACTGCTATTAAATAACTCAGTAACATCATTACTCACAACATATGAATTAACTCAATTAAGCATTATAATTATTTATTTTATTGCATTTCTGATGATCATAGATAGTCAAAATTACTATGTTCTGATGACAAGTTTTCATTTCGATTTCTTTTTCAATGAACCCCTGCTCCTTTTGCGGTTACAAATAGCTCCTTTAATAATCTCAGTAATAGTCATTCATCCCCTAGTTTGCCAACCTTAGAGGTAAAATATTTTCTTCAAATTATAACGAGGAACTCTCTTTTCAACAAACACAGAATCATCAAAATCGGTTCACAAATGCCGGGAGTTATCGTGTAACATAAATACATAAAAAAACATACGAATATACGAAAGAAACAGTCGAATTGAGTACCCCTCCGTTTTTAGAAGTTGGTTAAAAGTGCATTCAAATACCTAATACCACGATTATGTAGACAGAATCACGTTACTCACAATAATTGTTGTGAATACATCTAATTTCACACATAAAACGTATAATAACAATGTTTTATATGTACATGTGTATTCAGTCGCAAACTTCCATACATTATACGCCTATTGTCTCCTGTTCTACGTGTGAAATGCCTAATTAAGTATCGTTTTCAATAGAACATATTACATTCTATTACATCAACGCAAAAATCCATTACAATCGGTCAGAGTTTATGAGAATCTGATAAATTGGTAGACAGTTTAAACATCGTGAAATGTCTACAACCAGGACCACTTTTAACAGGGCACCATAAGATTTTGATTCAATGACCTCACCTTTAAGAGATTTTCAAAAATGCTGTTCATATATGGAAGAGTTTTGTATTGGTGCTTTATGTGATTTTCATTACATACATTCATTTTATCTCTACCCTAATGAAATGATTTTGATATCTATAGCGATATTGGTCTCCAACGCTTTCTTTTCGACATTTATTGTCGATTGTTGTTAAAATCTTTATAAACATTATATTGTATGTATACACAACTAATTAAATTATACTATTAAACGAATAAAATAATTATTAAATATATGTTGTCAATGACATCTCATGGCAATACATATTCAATACACATAAAGAGGTTCTATACCTGTCTCGGGCACATAACATCATAATAAGTAATATATAAAGTTCTATAATTTAGTAGTTCATTCGGGTTGGCATATACAATATGGCAGCAAAACATTTGGACGTAGTTAAGCAAAAAGGATCCACAAAATTATCAAAAAATGAGTTATATGTACCAAACGGTTAGTAAAGTTTAACCTCTTAGATCAGCAAAAAATCCAACATATAAACATAAATAAATATCTCGGGAGTTACATGACATTATAAGTTTTGAAAATAAAACAAGAGTGAGAAACACTTTTAAACTTCAAACTGCCATATCTCGAAAGTGTCTGGATGTGCTAGATTGGATCCTTTTTCTTTAACTACGTCCATTTGATTGGTTGATTGAAAATCTCGAAAACATTGATTGGTTTGTCTTTCACAGGTACCTATGACAAACTTCCTGTGATGTGGCCTTAGGGCCACAGCTCATTGTATTAACTTGGGTCCATAATGTCTTATCTGCATTTCGCATTTATTTGTCTATTTACATAATAGGTTATCGACTTGTAATGCGTAGGTGATAAAATCTGTTTGAATTTCGGCGCAAGAGTTTACAAAAGGTGTCAAGTGTCCAATGTAATGTCGTAATGTCTAAAAGTTAGAAGTGAAACGACGCGAAATTTTATTCGTCAAAGGTTATTTTTGTAAGATTTTATTCGATATGGATGTTACGATCGGGTTTACGATACGTCTATTGTTAGTTTTCGTAAGATCCTCGGCGAATGAGAATTCATTTTTCGTAATATTATTTTATGCTAAAATTATATGCACCTAATTCATTCATTCATTCATTCACAGCTTCTTTAATTTTAGGCAAAAAATGTTTTTAAATAGTGCTGAGAAGAATCAATTCAAGTATAAAGCAATTTTTCACGTAATTTTCAGTTGTATATACATAAATAATATATAATAAAATAGTAAGTGGGGTGGTAGAGCACAAAAATCATTTAAATTTTTTATCATCAATCTAAGTGAAAACTGTAAAAGACAAACCTAGTTCTTAGGTTTTCGCTATTGTTATACATAGGAAACGTGTGTGATTGTTGTAAAAAATCCAATCGGAAACGTATTAGGACATCACGAATTGATTAGAACTCGAGTTGTCAAAAGTTAAATAAATCGTTGGATGGAGTATAACAATAAACTGACACTGGCCCATGAATAGTGCCGGCCATTAAGGAAATAGAAATAGAAAATAGAGTATAACAATCTATTTGTCACGGTACAGTCGTGTTAATAAATATTAGCGATGTAAACCCTAGAAAACCTAAAAGCAAAATCTCAACTGAAAGAATCTAAGATGTGCAAGGTTTGACCATGAACTGCACTTTTAAGTAATGTCACATCAGCTAAATCTATTATAGTATTGTTAACGCGATTTTGCAAATAGTTAAGACATCGCATAAAGAAGCTATTCATGAGACTCTGTGTTTAAAAACAGCCTTGATTTCAGTGCAATTAGTAGTTCTTTATAAAATACAGTACAATAAGTTGTAGCAAGTCACATGTGATACGAGTGTAGAAAAGAAAACGGCTTGGTTTTAAGATTTCTTTATTTTTATGTTCTACCCTTTTTCTGTTCACTTACTCGTAAAAAGTTTTTTAAAACAGTTTCCCCTAATAGTAATGTATAAGAATATTAAAATGCTTATTTTGTCACCATATTAAATTATCGAGTTCTTAGGTTTTCGCGATTGTTACACATAGGAAATGAAACTATTTTTCTGGATTTAAATCGCGTATATTTGTTTTTTCAAACAAACCGACGTTTCAGGCCCTTTACAGGTCCCATGGTCACGGTTGACACGGTTGACGGTTGTTGTTGAGTGTTTGAAAAAACAAATATACGTGATTTAAATCCGGAAAAATAGTTTCATTTCCTACATATTAATTTACATATGAAAATAAACATAAATATTGGACAACACGTTGCTTTGATATCAAAGTAAGTAACTAAAGCACATCTGTTATGGAAATCGGAAACAACGACGATGCCACAAACATCCAGACCCGAAACAATATACAAAAAACAGTTTTCTACATTGACACGGCCGGGGATGGAACCCGGGACATCAAAGATGGCGACATCATAAAATCCGGTGTACAATCTACTTGACCACGAAGGGCGTCATACTGCTTGGAAATGGAAAGCTTTTATTAACTTTCATTTTTGTAAAAAAAAAAGGATATATTATATCCTATCGATGCCGTACTTTCTCAAACTCGTATCTTATAAAGAGCGATTGTTTAGGAGATGGCAAAACATTCTACGTACTTTAAATTTCTTATCAAGGGTGTAAATTTCGATGTATTGCTTTAAAAATAGGTAAAAACCAGTGTGTGAATATGAAGGAAATGTGAAGTGAAATCAGCCTGCAAAATTTATATATACCTACGATGCATTTTTTGCATTTCAGTCACTTTGTGC